ACAAGTTCAATGAGACAGCCCTCACAACTCCTGCACTTGGCCAAGCCCAACCCTCCGACCCTATGCGTCTAGGTCTCTTTTTCCCCCGACCAGAAATTGTACCAAATGTCAAGGCAGGAACATGGCGATTCCTTTCCAAAGATAATCAGCTCTCGCCCATAGCACCGGAAGCTGCCCAAGGCAAGACGGAGGACAAATCTTGGCCCGTCCCTCAAGCCGACGCCCGTGCAATCCTCGAATCCCAGTTCTTGTCCTTGAGATTGCGGTCTCAATCCCTTGTCGAACCCCAGGGCTCTCTCCCTGCGCAACCCCGCAGAATTTACATGGTTGGCGGTGGTGCCGTGAACCCCGCCATCGCCGAACTTGCCGGTCAGGTTCTTGGTGGCTCTGACGGTGTATACAAGCTTGAGATTGGAGGAAATGCCTGCGCTCTCGGAGCCGCGTACAAAGCTGCCTGGGGCGTACAACGTTCGTCTTCACAGGAGAAGTTCGAAGATTTCCTTGAGGCGCGATGGAATGAGGAGGGCTTTGTCAAGAAGATATGTGATGGCTACAGGAAGGGTGTCTTCGAACAGTATGGCGATGCACTCAAGGCTTTCGATGAGGTAGAGAAGGTAGCACTCAGGGAGAAGGGTGAGGCCGAGAAAACGGATGCTACCAAAGAGGCTATGGGGCTGCAGGGTCTGGATAGCCAGAGGTAAGATGACGGTAGTGTGAGATATTCTGGAATGTCACTTGATTACTTGGGCACAGATCCCTTGAAAGCGAACGTCTTGGCCAATTGACCATCTCACCTTATACAAGAGAAAAGCTGAACACCTAGGAGCCTACGTCGCTGTTAGGCACTAACTTCGCAAGCTTTCATCTTAATGTAGGCTGTAGACCTGTTCAGTTTTTCTCTTATATGAGGTGATCTGGTAACACAGTTGTGTTTTTCGTTTGACGGACATGTGACGGCGCGCCAACGCGCCGGACTTGACGTAACCTCCAACACTCCAGCTCCACATTATCAAACTTATCACATTTGGAATCTTCTCCACCTGTCGTCAACACCACGGTCATTTGCGCATACCGCTTCACGCGTTGAAACATGTCCGAAGGTACCGAGAACCATATTGTATGCGTTGGTGCCGTCTACATCGACACTATATTGACGTATGTACCAACGCTCTGCAACAACCCCAAGAACCAGAAGCTTACTAACTCTCGAGTGTTCAGAGTCCCTCATTTCCCCATAGAAGATGAGAAACTACGCGCCAAAGCTCTCACGCGAAGGAGAGGAGGAAACACGGCAAATAGTCTAGAAGTGTTATCGCAGCTACAACGACACGACCCTGAGAGAGCACGACGTCTCAACACCACGAGTCTGCATCTGCTGGCTGTGCTCCCTGAGAAACAATCTGCGGCTTCTCAATTCATATCTACATCGCTTCCTGGGGTAAACATATCCGACGTAAGCCTCTTCCGCAAACAACACCAAGAAGCCGCATCAAGCTACATCATCCAAAGCGAAGAAAAGCGTTCACGCACAATCATCAGCATCAACCAGCTCCCCGAGATGCAAGCCGAAGAATTCATCCACCAAGTCCGCAAATTCACTACAGAAGACGGACAAACATGGAAGAAAGCATGGTTCCATTTCGAAGGCCGTGTCCCAGAGATCACATTGCAGTGTGTCCGCTTCCTGCGCGAAACATGCCCTCATTTCAGGATTAGCGTCGAGTGCGAGAAGCCTGAGCGGACGGGCATGGCTGAGGTAGCGCAGTACGCAGATGTAGTGTTTTACTCGAAATTGTGGGCCGTGAAGAATGGCTATGAGGATGCGAAAAGCTTTCTCGAAGCTAGACGCGATGAAACGAGAGATGGGGCTCTACTGTGTTGCACATGGGGTTCTGGAGGTGCTACGGCGGTTCAAAAGGGGGACGAGGAGGTTTGGGCGGATGTCGAGGCGTGGCAGGCAGATGGGGAGGATGGGGCAAAGGTTGTGGATACGATTGGTGCTGGGGATACTTTTATTGCGGGGATGCTTTTTGCGGTTAACGAGCATGAGGAATGGGGGTTGCAAAGGAAGCTGGAGTTTGCGAATGAGTTGGCTGGGAGGAAGGTTGGGCAGGAGGGCTTTGGGGGTCTGGGGAAGAGGATGTGGTAGGCGTTGAGAGTTATTGCGCTACTTGCTTTATGATTGCTCTTGCTTACACAATGAGTATACTGACCAGATTCACTAGATACCTAGGTATGCAAAAAGTAAACCTACGTACAGCAACGGACGCTTGACAGCGAGTGCGTGCAAGAGTCCGCCCTTCTAGTGTTTCGTCTTCGCAGAAAGCGCCTTGCGAAATTAGTTCGAATCGCTCGAGACAGATCATGACGCTTCCAAATCATGGGCTGGGAAGACGCGTTCGAGACCTGATCTTCAATTCAGTTTCAATCATTGGTCAGATGCGGCGGACTAGATCGACGACGCAGGCGGGAAAGGGTCTCCCGGAGCAGCTTCCGACCACCCATCGCACGCGTGCATCTTGAAGAACTGGAATCATTGACGCGCTACCCCGCATGCTCTCGAGCCATCCCGCTCAGACTGCAGCATGAAGAAGAGCAGATGTCGGCGAGGCGGAAGCTAGATCCAGTTGCGGGGTGACCACGGGGACTGTGTTGGTCACTTAAGAAGGCCGCCGTCCATGTAACAGCATGCGGTGGAACAAAGAGCACCTACAAACATAACCAGCAATTCATCAGCATGAGTGGGACCAAGATCGAAACATGCCCCATGGGGTACCACCGAATTCAAAATATCCACAACGGCAAAGTACCGAGTGGCACCGTCAAAGCTGGTCGACAAGACAAGAAGGCTACTGGTGAATACATCAAATGGGATACGCCAGGTGTTGAACACATTCCGGACAATGAGCAAGAGAAGATCAAGGAAGTTTCTGCTCAATTCAATCGTTTCCAGATGATGAACTTCAATGAACACATGCATTGTTTGAGGGGCACGCATTTGAAAACTCAGGGTGTAAGTATTCTTGAGGCTTCTCGAGATGAACGTTACTGATAGCATGGGCAGTGCGTTATGGGCAAGTTTACGGTGCATGACAACCTACCTAAACATCTCGCCCAAGGAATGTTCGCAAAGCCTGGTACTTACGATGTAATCATGCGGTACTCGTCTTTGACGCCCAAGATCTTACCCGACAATCTGGCAGCACCACGCGGCATTGGCATGAAGGTCTTTGGTATCGAGGGCGAGAAGCTATGGGGAGAAGACAAGAAGACGCAAGACTGGACCTTCAACAACTACCCAGTATTGGAGCTGCGTGATCCCCAAACCACATACGATATTGCAGATGCACTGGAGCGAAACTGGAACGACTTGCCTACCTTTGCAGACGAGCAGAGCAAACGCGTTGATGCCGACGTCGCAACACTCGGTGGGCAACTGCCGAAACAACACATGGTTGCTATGCCTGAGTACTCGCAATCAGCATACCGCCACGGAGCTTACGTAGCCAAATACGGCGTCTTTCCCAACAGCAAGTTCCAAAAGGACCTTGAGAACACCGAAGTAAAAGACTCAGACCCAATCAATATCCTCTCGCAGACCCTCCGCACACACCACCTGAACAACACCATAACCTACAGCTTTTGCGCGCAACTGTTACAGGATCTCACCGAACAGCCCGTCGACGACATCGGCATCGAATGGGATCCCAAAAAATACCCGTTTGAACAGATCGCTACCATTGAGTTCCCACCGCAGGACTCGTGGCTACCTGAGTTTAGGACGTGGTGGGATGATCGCATCACGGTGAACAGCTGGCATGGGTTGAAGGAGCATCAACCGCTTGGAAGCACCAACCGAATGCGCCGGGTAGTTTACGCCGAGAGTAGGAAGCTGAGGCTGAAGGTTAATGGGTACAAGGAAGAAGACTATGTGGAGCCCGCGGGGCTTGGTGATATCCCTGGGAAGGGTGTGGAGGCGCCGCAGTTGGATTTGAAGTATCAGAGTGCTGTTACTACTGCCGAGGTTGCATGATTGATGAATGCGCGGTAGCTAGATGTAGGTTGTGGAACGGAAGTGCTTTTCTTGGATGTATGTGTATAAGGTTCCGGATGTATGCGCGTCCGCTAGGTGACGTCTGTCTCATGCATGAACAAGTCCGAAATATCATCGAAGCTGCCAAACTAATGTATCTAGTGATAAGTGCAGTTGGTATACATGCAGCTTACAGGTAGAAAGTGACAAGGTACAGGTGCGACTTCCGCAAGTGGCGGCTCCCCGCACATGCGCATGCTAAGTACCTGCAGCTAACTCACTGGGCCAACAGCGACAACAATAACGATTAGTTCACTCTACAAGAATACGTGAACCATATTTGACTTCGTGCTTGCGAGACTGTGAGTGGGCTACAGCTGTCAAACATGCGAATCCCTTCTTTGTCTTTACTGACATGTGGAGCAGTTTACATCTCGACTCTAACCACAGCTGCAAGCATCGTCACCCTCTTCCCTCATATCAGAATGTCGTCTAGCGAAAGAATGGTGAGTGCTTCGAAGTGAAAGAATACCCGTCTTGTCTCCAATACAGTCACGGAACAAGACACACTAACGTGACGAAGGCGTATCCCTACGGCAAACCGTACCCAACACCCTCGAATGGTACGGAACATGACGAAAACAAACTCTGGATGCAGATACAGTACGAAGCATACGTAGATGGGATCGACCTGACAGTATTGCCCTTTGCCAAAGAAGCTATTGCGAGCATCGCTTCGCTAGCGAGTAGCATGGTGAATGTGAAGGAATTTGACTTCTCGACTTCAAAGAGAGTTGATACGCATACACAGTAAGTTCATGCACAAACAAGAAAGCAAATTACTTATACGTATGGCAACATACTGACGAATCTCAATAGCCCCATTCCAGACTGGTTCCGAGCCCTCGAATTAAATGCTGCAGGCCGCGCAACGCCGTCTTGGAACGTTTCATCCCACCTCGGATTCATGAGTGAACACCACATCGCTCATTCTGTACTCTGCGTCTCCACACCGCAGGCCAACGCCTTCTTGACCGAGAGAGACGAAGTGCTGCGAAAGAAGAAGACAGTTGCTCTTGCGCGTTTACTCAACTCTTTCACAGCGGAACTTTGCAGGATCTATCCAGAAAGGTTTAGTTGGTTGGCCATTATGCCGCTACCCCATGTGGAAGACTCGATTACGGAACTGAAGCGCATGTTTGGAATGGTGGGGAAACAGCCAGTGGGTGTCGGTGTGCTAACAAACCACGAGGGGATGTACCCGGGGGACGAGACTTTTGATCCATTGTGGGAGTACTTACAAGAGAGATCCGCAAAGACGGGAAGCGATGGGAGGGAGGTGGTCTTCGTGCATCCAACAGAGCCCATTATGAAGCTCGACGATGGCCGATTGATAAACTCTCGACCATGTGAGTTCTCTTTTCCCAAAACCCGGTCTCACAAACGAACAAGAGAGTGAGCTGACAATAAGCCACAGCACCCCTTCGCTCCGGTCTCGGAGAATTCTACTTCGAAACCGCGCGCGCCATCTCGAGCCTAACAGCCTCATCCACATTCCTCAAGTTCCCGTCCCTCCACTTCCGCATTTCCCACGGCGCAGGCGCTTTCCCCGATATCTCCGAGCGTTTTCTTCTCGGCTTCCCCAACATCTCGACCGCAGCAAGGGAAGCCTACAAAACGCGCTTTTGGTACGATAGTGCAGGACCAGTGTGGCCAAATCAGGTCAAAGGGCTGACGGAAGGAATGGGTATCCCAGTTAGTCAGATGGTGTTTGGCACGGATTATCCGTATGGCATCGGGTTTTGGGATGTGGATGCTAATATTGATGGGTTGGCTTGGGCGGGGGAATTGAGATTTGAGGAGAAGGAGAAGGTGTTTTGGGGGAATGCGAAGGAGTTGTGGAGGGGGAAGATTGCTGTGTTGGATGGTATGGGAGAGTAGAGTGATGACAGACTTCCCCTCTCCATAATCTGCCTCGATAATCAAATAGTGACTGTTTTGTGCTGAAATGAACGTATCAAATGTGGAGCTTGGTCGAGACTGCCTCGACTGGTGTGCGCCTTCCACAACGTCTGTTTGGCAACGACGAAGTCGTCACTGCCGTTCTCAGGTATGTCTGACGCATCTCAACCCCGCTTCGTTCTTTCTGCCTTCTCATATCCTCTCACCCTTCTCGCATTCATCATGGCGGCCTCAGAATACGAGACGGTTGCTAACGTTGCTTGGGATGTTATGAGTGTTGACCTATCCGCCACCCGGCTGCTTCGCTCGATGTACCACAACTCTTCGGTCATCCTCGAAGCTCTCGACTACTTCTCTGTGCAATTCGCACCTTCTCTCCATGGGATTCTTCGGTCACGTACTCCACCTACACCTCAGCAGCTGCAGTTATGTACCCTTCCCGAAATTGCGCGACAGTGTTGAAGCTCACCAGTACATCGTTGCTACCAATCGCATGGTTTCGGCGTACGTTCTCAATCTTCGCGCATCCATGGGAGTAGACCCTTGAATTCGGACATGGTGCTTGCACAAAAATCAAGAACGAATCCACGCCAACCAAGAAAAAAACTGAACAGGCCTGCAGCCTACATTAACTTAAAACCCTACAAGATAGATAACTTAGTGTTAATGTAGGCTCTAGACCTGTTTAGCTTTTTCCTTGTATAAGGTGATTCGTTGATTGCGGGAATAAACTCCATCCAATTGATATTGAGTTGTAGACCATGCCGGTTAGCTGCGGCGATTTAGTGTGAGAGACGACCTTGCGACCCCGCCGTGACATCCGCCACAACTCACGACAACAACAGCACCGGCAACACAACATAAGACTATCGCGAAGCGCTCAGAAAAGAATATGCGCCCCATGGTTACCCACAAACCGGCACATGGTTGGTGCAGATACGAGAACCAGGACGACAGATTTCACGCCCCATGAGTACAACGTGCACCGAGTCGTGCAGGAGGCTAGAAAAATTGTTCAGCCTCAAGCATGGACAGCTATAGGTAAATATACCTGACGTTCCACAACGACTCACACTAACCGATGGCTTTACAGAGAATCCTGATGCGTGTTACAAGTCTTCTGGGCGAGGCCCCGGACGCGATCGCCCGGCGCTTGCCGATGGGCCGGGGCACTCCACCAACTCCATATTGTCAGCAGAGGCAAACATTAAGAGAAAGTCAAGATGAGACAACATGGCATTCCTCAGCCCATGATTAGGCAGTCCGTTCGTCCGTCTAGCCCGTCAGCCAGAGCCGGATCACCATGACTTCAGCCATTCGCATTGTTCGGCAATCGTCGACGGGATGACGTTGATGACAAAACCTCAAACCATCGGGCGATTTCCAACCAACGCACAGCCGCGGAGTGCATGAGCATAGACGTCGTCCGAGCCTCAGAAGTAGCAAAACGTCTACTGCCGCCGAATGATTGGCGAGACTGCCTTACATAAGGCTGGCAGGAAGAGTTTTGCTCCACCATGTACTAGCGCGAATTGCGTGATCGCACGTCTTCACCCCCAGCTATCGCACCTTGCGGAGATGGTTACAAAGCGATCCCGATGGCGGCGCCCAATATATACTCCAGGCCGTGGTCGCTCTCTCTCTTCCCACCTCCAGACCCGAACGATTGATAATAGTAGTTTCTCCTGGGAAGCCTCCATTTAGACACCAACCCACAAAGACATACTCCTTCTGGCTTCTCCGCACGTGCCTGCCATACCCCAAACTTCCGCCACACGATCTTGAAGATGTCGTCACCATTGTTCGCAAAGGTTGACGCCTACAAGCAGCCTACACTCCGCGAGGAGTCTGGCTATGCTTCAGCCGAATCCAGTCAGGAGAGCCTACCTGAGATCTACTTCACGAAGCCTCATTTGAAGTTTATCAACGCCCAGCTCCAGAAGCTTGAGCCACAAGGTATGTGGTGGTACTTTACTCTAGTAAAGTTTCCTGTATTAACTTCGAGTAGACATCCTCCGATGGTGCATCACATCTCTGCCTGGACTATTCCAGACCACCGCCTTTGGTCTTACTGGCCTGGTCACAGTGGACATGCTTTCGAAACTCGATGGACCTTTGAAGCACAACATCGACTTGATCTTCCTAGACACTCTCTACCACTTCGACGAAACCTATGCCCTTGTTGACCGGGTAAGGAGGCGATACGGAACACCTGTACACGTCTACAAGCCTGCCGGCTGCGACAACGTCAACGACTTTACTGCCAAGCACGGCGACAAGCTGTGGGACACCAACGACGAGCTTTACGACTACGTTGCCAAGGTGGAGCCTGCTGAGCGTGCCTACTCTGAACTTCAGGTCAAGGCTGTCTTGACTGGTCGCCGACGTAGCCAAGGTGGCAAGCGTGGAGACTTGGACATCATCGAGGTCGACGAGGCCGGCCTCATCAAGATCAACCCTCTCGCCAACTGGAACTTCGCCCAAGTCAAGGAATATGTCGACGCCAACGACGTCCCATACAACGACCTTCTCAACAGGGGTTACAAGAGTGTTGGTGACTGGCACTCTACACAGCCAGTAGCTGCCGGAGAGGACGAGCGAGCAGGACGCTGGAAGGGCAAGAGCAAGTCCGAGTGCGGCATCCACAACCCCAAGTCGCGATATGCTCAGTTCCTCCAAGAGCAGGCGATGAAGCAACAAAACGAGGACCTAGCCAACAAGCTGCAACAAGTCTCTTTGAACGTTTAGGATGATGTAGGATATCTTGATTCCTACTTGTTGTACCGCATTAGCACGGCGTTTGGGTTATTTATGGGACATGGCATAGCATGGGGTTTGGGTCACGAAAGAATGGGGTTTGCGGCAGACGCATCCGATTATGTATATACGGGGCCGAGATACCACCGATGTAGGAGCCAATGAAGCTCGCGCATGAATCAAACGAATTTCCAGCACTGCGCTAGACCTGTCACATACGTGAGGTGTTCCTGAAAATCGCTAAAGCGCAACACAAACTGCAGGACATGGTGCTCCTTCTCCGCTCCGCTCACGTCACTGTGGTCGCGTCGCCCAACGAAAAGCCGGGTGAGACAGGCTCTAACTATCGCGTGCAATTGCGCAATCGCTTCCAAGATCTGCCGACCCATACAACAACCCGCTTTGTGCCCTAGTCTCTGCAAGCAGAGAAAATCCAGAGAAGCCTATGGTCAACAATCGGGGACATGGCGCCTGAAGTGTCCGTAGAACCCGGGGAATAAAAAGCCCTTTCCACCCGTCCCGCCTTGTAGTCCTTAGTCGCGCATCTTTCTCTCTGAGTGACCAAAACCTCCTTCGCGAAGCCAGTCTTGTATAGTCAGGAACGACATCAAGTCTTCGCCGAACTACCTGACCGGATCCACCACCGGATTCTATATTCCTCACATATTCTTTAGACATGGCGAACGCACCCCATGGTGAGTTGATCAACAGAGGCGCTGGAGTTGGTCACGAATGCTGACGGAGGGGACCACAGGCGGCGTCCTCAAGGACCTGATCGCGCGCGATGCGCCCCGACGCAAGGAACTGTTCGAAGAGGCTGAGAAGCTTCCGGCTATTGTTCTGTCCGAGAGGCAGCTCTGCGACTTGGAGCTCATCCTGAACGGAGGTTTTTCACCTCTGGAGGGTAAGTCGTCATCCCGCAGCGCTAGGCGAGGGGCAGCGAGGGTTGCCCCTCGTGTTTGCGATGTTTGCAGCAACACGGCCCCTGACAGCATGATGCAGGTTTCATGAACCAGAAGGACTACGACGGCGTAGTGTCCGACAACCGTCTCGCCGACGGCAACCTCTTCTCCATTCCCATCACACTCGACATCTCGAAACAGACCATCGATGAGGTCGGCGTCAAGCAAGGCGCCCGCATCGCCCTGCGCGACTTCCGCGACGACCGCAACCTGGCCATCATCACCGTCGACGATGTCTACCAGCCGGACAAGGAGAAGGAGGCCCGCGAGGTCTTCGACAAGGACAACGACGTAGCACACCCCGCCATCAAGTACCTGTACGAGACGGTCAAGGAGTACTACGTCGGCGGCAAGCTCGAGGCCATCGACCGCCTGGAGCACTACGACTATGTCGGCCTCCGATACACCCCCGCGGAGCTGCGTCTGCACTTCGACAAGCTTGGCTGGTCCAAGGTCGTCGCTTTCCAGACGAGGAACCCCATGCACCGCGCTCACCGTGAGCTCACCGTCCGCGCTGCCCGCGCCCGCCAGGCCAACGTCCTCATCCACCCCGTTGTCGGCCTGACCAAGCCCGGTGACATTGACCACTTCACCCGTGTCCGTGTCTACCAGGCGCTGATGCCCCGCTACCCCAACGGCATGGCCGTCCTTGCTCTTCTGCCTCTGGCTATGCGCATGGCTGGTCCCCGTGAGGCCATCTGGCACGCCATCATCCGCAAGAACCATGGTGCCACCCACTTCATTGTCGGCCGTGACCACGCTGGCCCAGGCAAGAACTCCAAGGGTGTCGACTTCTACGGTCCATACGACGCCCAGGACGCCGTCGAGAAGTACAGGGACGAGCTCGGCATCGAGGTTGTTCCCTTCCTCCAGATGACCTACCTCCCCGACTCGGATGAGTACAAGCCCAAGAACGAGGTTGAGCAGGGCATCAAGACCCTCGACATCTCCGGAACTGGTACGTCAATTGCATTTCCTCCACTTAGGGGTTGGAAACTAACATTGTGAACAGAGCTCCGCAAGCGCCTCCGAACCGGCCAGGAGATCCCCGAATGGTTCTCATACCCCGAAGTCGTTCGCGTCCTTCGCGAATCCCACCCTCCTCGCAGCCAACAGGGTTTCACTGTCTTCCTGACAGGTTACCAGAACTCTGGCAAGGACGCCATCGCACGCGCTCTCAACGTCACCCTCAACCAGCAGGGTGGTCGCTCCGTCTCCCTCCTTCTCGGTGACACCATCCGCAGTGAGCTCTCCAGCGAG